CGGTTCTGTGCTGACAGCAGAGAGCCCAATGTGGGGCTTGAACTCATGAACGGTGAGATCACTACCTGAGCCAAAGTCGGATGCTTAACCAACTGAACCACCCAGGCTCCCCAGCCCCAAATAGTTTTTAAATGAAGTATTTTTTTTAACAAGTTGAGAATATTTTCAAAAACACTCTCTTGATGATTGAAACACAGAACTTTGCAATGGCCTACAGAAGCTGAAGCCCAATCATTTGTTATAAAAAAAGAAAAGGATACAAATGTATATGTCTGCATAGAAAAAGGTCTAAAAGTGTATGCAACATAACATTAACAGTAGTTTCATCTGAAATATTGGGGGTGGGGTTAATTTCCTTCCCTGTATGGTTGTATTTTCTAAGTGTTCCGTAATTTGTAACATTACTTCAATAATTTAAAAAATTAATACATTATTTGAATATATGGCCAAAGAGAAAAGGGTGGGAAAGGCGAATAGCAAAGGAGGCGATGGGGAAGAAAGAAGTAGCACGGAAGTGAGAAGTGAGGGCAAAGAAGCAAGTCCACTCCAGATGCAAGGAACAGAGACACAACTCAAAATCAGTCTCCATCCCCATCCTGCTGACCCAGGAGTCCCATGTTTATGCCGGCAGTACCACTAGGAGATCCTAGTGGAGTCCAAATCAAAGCAAAGAACCACCTTCCCTGGCATAAAGGTAACCATTTAAAAGAAGAAATTAACAAAGTTTTGCTGGGGGTGTAGCTGGAGAATTTCACTCAAGAATGCTGATATTCACAGAACTGCTTCTCTCTACCTTCCCTCTACATCCTAAGCTCCAGGAGCCACTTAAAAGCAGGCTATCTATTTTCAAGAAGTAAATCTCTTGGACGAGTACCTTATGTTTATGAGCTGGAATGGGAAGGTGCTGGGCTGTGTATTGGAACTCCCAGCCAGAGAAGACAGTTATCTCTCTTGGCACAGGTTCTCAGGGATGAGACCATGTCTAGCGGGGATTTTCTCCAGATTCGACAGCCTTGGCCCTACCAAAATGCACAGCTTTGTTTTCACCATACATCCATCACTCATCGTGAGCCTTTCATTTTTCCTTTCAACCATCCACAGGTCAGATACTGTGTGTTCCCAACAGTCTGTGAACTTCTTGGACCAGCAAAGGGACATTCATTTTTCTCAGCACTCCTTCAACATTTCTATTGTATTCGATTTCCCACTCCCCCTGCCCAGCTCCCTGGAGAGTGACTTCTTCCTTGTTTTAATAGCTTGGACCACAGTCAAAGTTGATGTGTTACTCCATTTTGTAGGATATTTTCTTCAGAAGAGACAAAACAGACTAACGGAGTAGCTGGGGCTTGTGAGCAGCTTTAGGAATTCAGCATCCATTAGGAACACACAGGAAAGGTTTTTAAAGAAATAAAAAGTAGGCAACACAAAGGCCTCATAAACAGAATTATTCATAAAGGTAGACTAATGCTTTTCCTGGCAATTTTCTCTCCCAGTGACCCGCTTTAAAAAAATCTAATTTCATTTGTGAGTGACGAAAAGGGTCGGAGTTAAGAAAGTGGGTTCATAAAGTACCTTCTCTGACTTAAATTGAAATACAATACTCTCCCATTTGAAGTCATAAAAGCAGTTCTGATCTCAATGGGCACACAGATATAAGAAAATGAATAGAGAGAGGAAGAGAGAGGAGTAAATCAGGGTCAAGAGTATCCCTTCCTCCCCATTATATCATGTTTTCATCTCATCTTGCCCATACTCTCCCTAAAATCCCATCCCCAACCATTGTAATAACACTGCTCCCTGACATCTAATGAAAGATGTCTCCAAGGAACTGGTTAGGACACAGGGAAAAGCCCTGTTCTTTTTTTTTTTTTTAAGTAAAATTTTCAAGGAAAAAAAGACATGAACAAATATTTAATGGGGGTTATTCTGAAGTCCACATCTTTTTTTTTTTAATTTTTTTTTTAACGTTTATTTATTTTTTTGGGACAGAGAGAGACAGAGCATGAACGGGAGGAGGGCAGAGAGGAGGGAGACAGAATCAGAACAGGCTCCAGGCTCAGATCCTGAAACAGCCCAGAGCTCCGAGCTCAGACCAGCCCAGAGCCCGACGCGGGGCTCAAACTCACCGAGCGCGAGATCGTGACCTGGCTGAAGTCGACGGGACGCTTAACCTGACTCACCAAGCGCCTACACCCAGGCTTGCAGATGGTTTGTTAACCACCTGTCCTTAGGCCCCACACCACACCTACCAGATCAAAATCTCCAGGGTCCTCAGAGAGTATCTCTGTCACCCAATGGAAGTAGACTGTCTCCCCAGGCACTAACACACCACTATTTTTTTTTCTTTCATCATTGTACTTATCACTACCTGACATTTTCTTTTTTTTTTTTTTTTAATTTTTTTTTCAACATTTATTTATTTTGGGACAGAGAGACAGAGCATGAACGGGAGGGCAGAGAGGGAGGGAGACACAGAATCGAAAAACAGGCTCCAGGCTCGAGCCACCAGCCTGTGCCAGAGCCCGGCCACGCTGGCAGGGCTCGAACTCTCAATGGCAGATGACCAGCTGAGATCGCAGGACCAGGCTGAAGTCGGACGCTTAACCGACTGCGCCACCCAGGCGCCCCATGAAGTCCACATCTTTTTAATAAAAAATTTGATAATACTACATTTTTATAAGTGATATGGAAATTATCTTTTTTTCTCCAAAACAGGAGTCAAACCTCCAGTTTTTCTGTTATATATCTATTGTGTCACCATGATTCTTCTTACCATTGATTTCAAACAGCGGCAAGACACTAGCTGTGAGTTTAAATAAAAAATAGTTATTTATCTTTCTTCATGGAATATCTTTATTCAAATGTGTTTTCCATATTAACAGTGTTTTCGTACCGTGACAAAAGTAAGTGAATTTGGCATCAGAAAGAAGAATGACACCAACCCAGATTGTGTCTCCCCCGGACAAAAGCCCAATTTTCTACCGGAATAACAGATTCAACTGAATTCAGTTCTTGGCAATTCATGGGCTTGGAGGGTAGAACTAAGGAGTAGCCATTTTTAAGAGCCATAAGAGAGGCAAACTGTGGGTCATGACACATCAGTGGGTTGTAAAATCAATCTACACATCACAAGAAGCATTTTTAAAAATGAAATTGAATACAGTAGAGAACATCAGCATGCACAGCCTGGAGTAAGGGTAAGCACTGTTTTATGAAAATGTATGTGTATGTGTGTGTGCATGTGTGTATACTGGATCTTGGTGTAAAAGGTTTTTTAAGTGTCACTATCTAAAAAGTTTAAGACACTCTGATCAAGGACTCAGACCCTGGACTCAGAGAGAAGTGGATTCCAACATGGCTCTGCCACTTACTTGCTGTGTGAACTTGGATTACCTGGCTTAGTCTCTCCACCCACCTCATCTGAAAGATGGACATACCATAGAATATTAGGATTGTCATGAGATCAAAAGACCCTTACACAGGGCCCAATAATGTTAACATCCACATAAGGCACAAATCACAAATGGAAACAGGCATTGGTTGCCTTACAATGTGTTCTAAAGGGATAAATCCAGTGTGAAAGAAGATGTTAGTAAGTTAGACAA